CGCCGCGGCGGCCTCCAGTCAGAGGCCGGCGCGCGCCCCCGTGGAGCGCGCGGACACACCCCCTCACGCCGGCGGCCCGCCCCCCTCCGGCTTTCCGTAGCGTTGCGCCGCCGTGCGTCGCCTCCCGCGCGCACCCGGCGTCCTGCTCGGCGTTCCCCTCTCCCGGGCGGTGCGGAGCCTGGAGCTGCGGGAGGTGTGCGCGCTCCGGAGCGCACCACTGGCGCCGCTCCCTGCAGGGGTGATCGGCCAGGAACCGGGACGCCTGGGCTCGGTCGTCCTGCAGCCTCAGTGGGCGCACATCGGCTCTGGGGAGCGTCTGCGGCGGCCTGCCGGGCCTTGGGGGGTGCATGGGCCGGATCACGGCCTCCCCTCGCCCCCTGCCGACCTACCCAGACGGGGGCTGGCGTGCGGGGGTCTTTGGAGTGGGATGCCTGCGGCATCTTCGTTCGCGCGGGCCGGGGTGACTGCGGGGCGCGGAGCTCTGGCGGGCCAGCGGCAGGCGCCGCTCGAGCTGGGAAGTTTGGAGTGGACTCCGCCGGGAGGCAGGCTGCACCTTTTGTCGAAGTCACTGAGCCATGTTTGCTGGGGGCGCGGTTGCCGAGGTGGCGGGGGCGCGGGGTGGGCGCGATCGTCTGGGAAGACGCCTTCCCCTGCCCCGCCAGCGCGGTGGTATCTCCCTTAAAGAAGCCTGCGCTCCATTGTTCCCGGGCCTTGGCCGCGGGTGTTGGGGGCGCTCTGCCCGCTGCGGAGGGAGGCCGCGGCGGCGTCCGCACCTGGCTGCGACGCCCCGCAGGAGGGTCAGGATCTTGCTAGTGAGGCGCGCGGGAAGGGGCCGCTGCCCGAGCTCGGCGGAGCCGGGATTGACAGCCACAACTGCGGTTCTGGTCGCCCCAGCCTCCGGAGTCCTTTGGCTGCTCCCGGGCTGGCGATCATATCCCCGCCAGCTGTGTGCCCCAAGGCCAGCTCCAAGGCTGTCGGTCACTCCGAGACTAGGACCAGGCCGCCATTCAGTTACACGGGTCTATGAACATCCACCAGAAACGATTCTTTCCCGCATTTTGCCGCATTTTGTTAGTAAGGTGGTCCTTCCCGTTCCTGGTGCTAAGGCTTGATAAGCAAAGAAACCCCATCACTGCCAGGGTCAATCATTTCATTTTCTGCCTTCCATTTATCGGCCTTCTTCTAAGTCTGGGACTGGTTTAGGTCTTTACTTAAATGATCTCACTTAATCCTAACCAAACCCCACAACAGCGAGGCCTTATGTCTAACCCTGCTTTTGCAAGGGAGGAAGCGGATCTCTGCTTCTTTTGACCAAAAAGTGTGGGCTGTGAATACCTTTGCCCGGAAGAGGTAACAGCCCTCCGAACTGCTGCGATCTATTGAGATTTTTGTCCTGAGTGTCCTCCGTGTACCAGTCTTTACCTGTTTTTTGGGAATATTGATGACAGTTAAGACGTGTACGCCGGGCATGGTGGCGCACGCCTGTAATCCCAGCACTAGGGAGGCTGAGGCAGGAGGATTGTTGTGAGTTTGAGACCAGCCGGGGCTACAAAGTGAGCTCAAGGCCCGCTGAACTGCATAGCGAGACCCTGTCTCAAAAAGACCAAAGCAAACACATGTTTCGTGCCCTGGCAAGTAGCAGGGAAATATGAAAGACTCTGTGTAGACAGTTAACCACCAGTGTGGTTACTGAACGGAGTCTGGGGACGGAGATCTCTTTTTGGCCTTTTAATCTTTGTAGCTAAGCTAAGTATCCTAGGAACCCCTCCTCTCCAGCTGGTTGTAAAGCTGAGGTTTGAAATCCACAGCCCAAGAGAGTCTGAAGTCCTGTGGGCCCGAAATTAAGTAATTTGAGATGTTCTCTTTAGGAAAAAGATTACAAAATGGCCCTATCACATTGCTGGGGCCTGCAAGTGAAAACTCTGTAGCTTAGGCTTCATTAGCTTCAGGGTACATTTGTCCCTGGCTGTGCAGGTCCTGTCATTTTATGTTTGTTGTTTACCTTCTGCTGGACAGAGTTCCTGGAGGCAGGAACTTTGTGATTCACTTCTGCAGCCTCAAAAAAAATCAGACCCCCCGCCCAGTTCAAAGACTCAGTCCAAAAATGGGCATCAGAAATGAATAGACACTTCTCAGATGAAGAAGTAGAAATGGTACATAAATATATGAAAAAATGTTTAACATCACTGGTCTTTTGAGAGATGCAAATTAAAACAATGCTGAGATTCCATCTCACCCCAGAAAGAATGGCTGTTATCAAGAAATCAATAACAAATGCTGGAGTGGCTGTGGGGAAAAAGGAACCTTCCCGCTTTTGGTGGGAGTGTAGACTGGTGCAGCCACTGTGGAAATCAGTGTGGAGATTCCTTAAAAATCTAGAACTGGAGGTTCCATTTGACCCAGCTGTTTCCCTTCTTAGTATCTTCCCAGGAGAATTAAAAGCATCATACCACAGCTATATATGCAAACCCATGTTTATACCCATACAGTTTGTAATAGCTAAATCTTGGAAAAAGCCCAATGCTCATCAATTGATGAATGATAAAGATTTGTTTTCTACAATGGAGTACTACTGTGCCATAAACAAGGACAAGCTTGAGACATTTCTAGCTAAATGGCTGTACCTTGAAGCCGTACTCTTTAAGTGAGATGAATTGGATGTGCATGTAAATACCACATTATTTTTCTGGTATGAGAAACTGGAAGTGTAAATAAGGGCCAAAATATATCATAGATATTGAGAATTGGGAAGAAAATGTTCAAATGGGGAGGGGAATGAGGGAGGAGGGGGAAAGGAAAGAAGGGATAAGGAAAAAATGGAAACAAAGCTTTTGTAAATGGATTGAAGGAAGGGGAGGGGAGTGGGGAAAAAAGACATGTAC